AATCACGAGAGATGACAAGTCCTTCTAATCAAAAAAATACACACACACACACACACACACACACACACACACACACACACACACACACACACATGAATTATTTATATAGAAAGAACGTTATCCTGCCTCACACCAAACACAATTATTTCCAGAAGGATCACAGTTCTAGAAAAAAGTTTAGGGACTTCCCTGATGGCGCAGTGGATAAGAATCTGCCTGCCAATGCAGGGGACATGGGTTCGAGCCCTGGTCTGGGAAGATCCCACATGCCACGGAGTAACTAAACCCGTGCACCACAACTACTGAGCCTGCTTTCTAGAGCCCGCGAGCCACATTGAGCCCACACGCTGCACCTACTGAATCCTGTGCACCTAGAGCCCGTGCTCTGCAACAAGAGAGGCCACCGCAATGAGAAGCCTGCACACTGCAGCGAAGAGTAGCCCCCGCTTGCCGCAACTAGAGAAAGCCCACGCACAGCAACAAAGACCCAATGCAGCCAAAAATAAATATAAAATAAATAAATAAATCTTTTTAAAAAAAGTTTAAATAACAAAACTCTTTAGAGGAAAATATATGAATAGTCTTTGTAGCTTTGGATTAGGCAAGAATTTCTTAAGAGGACAAAAAAAGCACTAATTGTAAAAGGAGATAAATGATAAATTGGATATATTAAAGCTAAGGACCTCTACTAATGAACATATTACAGTAAGAGAGTAAAAAGCAACCTACAAATGAAAAAAAGGATCATTATTGCAACATATATATTAAAAGGAAACTTGTATCCAGAATATAAAAACAACTCCTACAAATCAGTAAGAAAAGCACAAACACCCTAATAGAAGAATTAGCAAAAGTTTTGCACAGGTGCTTCCAAAGAATATCACACAGCAATCAGCTACACAAATGAAGATTTGAGTGAAATAAGCCCAGCAATTAAAAAGTATATACTCTAAGTTTCCTTTTATATAAAGATCAAAAGTAGGCAAAACTAAGAAGACAGAATGTTGATTATCCTTGGTGGGGTGGGGTGGATAGTGACCGGAAGGGAGCTTCAGAGGGCTTCTGGAGTGCTGATGATGTTGAGTTTCTTGATTTGGGTGTGGTTACAGGAGCGTGCATTCAGTTTGTGACAATTCATTGAACTTATATGCAAACACAATCGTATACATACACACACATAAACACAAAAACTATTTAAAATGTATTTTATGCATATATAATTGAGCAAGAGAGAAACCAATTTTTAAATGCATTTTAAAAGATATGCTGAAATGTTTTATCTTAATGGTGCTGTCATTGTCACAACAGTGGACTATATTACTGTCCCATTCTCAGACAGGTCCCTTTGGCACTGAAATACAATTCAGTCAATTCAGAGTTTGAAGACATGAGCATTAGGGAAAGACTAATTGGATACAATAACAAATTTGCTAAATAAAACAAATGTCATCCACATTTTCCTACTGTCAATTACTGACTCCCGTTAATTACTGTCAAACACTACGCAATATGCAGCTTCCTCATATTTTAACTTGGGCAGGCCAAGATAGAGATGGAGGGAACCTGGTGTATTGCAATCAATGTGTGATTAGATTTAATCTGCTTGGTAAAAGGGCTTTGCAACTGAGTCATGTACTTTAGGAAATAAATACTATAGAACATGAAATTGGAGGAAACAAGCAATCGCAAGTTGAAATGTATATTTGTGCACTTGATACTCTTCCAACAAAGATCAGAGAATGAGCCCTGTCCCAGAGGGTGAGACTGCTTGTTTTGCCAGTGCTTTTTAATTCTGTGGCTGCCGAACAACTTCTTCTACAGCTGATGTTTTCTCCTTAAGTGACATTTCATCATCCAGTGCCCTAAGATAGTCACCCTGTTTTCCCTTAATTGATACTTGTATGCAAGAGGCGGAAAATGGCTCAGCATTTCTTGCTATATTAGTTCAAAACTGACAGAGGAAACAGAGAAGAGATTGCACTGCTTATGCCCCTTATGGTTTTCCTGTGTATCTAAGGAGATTGCCATTTCATAAAATTTCTTATGCTGCCTGAACATAATTACAGTAATGCAGGCATTTTGTTCCTATTTGCTTTTCTATTTTTTACTGCTTACCTGATCACCAGAGGGAAATTCAGAAGCAGTTTCACTAATCTTAACTTTATTTTCTTTTATGCCCTTAATAAGATGTAATTGTACCCTTAGACCTCCCTTCTGTAAATGCTTCATTTTGTCATTCCGGTGAAGCCTTTACCTTCCTCTTCATTTGATTGGTAACAAGAAGCATTAAACATGTACCTGGAAGTTCAAAGTGAGGTTCCTGAAGTTTTTCCCCCAAGTCATGGGGTGCTCTTTTCGTAAGATTAGTGTTTACAAATAGATGCTGTGATATTTATTCTAATTTAAAGTTAATTAAGAAGCATCCCATGAGAATGCTCCTGTTCATTGTGCAGCCTCAGTGGCTGGAGATCCATTCTGGGTCCTTCCCACCAAGTCTTTTGGAATGGGATTATGCCTTAAACAAAGGCATCAACATTTCCAGGGATCTATAAGAGCCCTTTTTTTTTTTTAAGATTTTATTTTAGAATTTATTTATTTTATTTTATTTTTTATTTTTTGGCTGTGTTGGGTCTTTCTTGCTGCATGTGGGCTTTCTCTAGTTGCGATGAGCAGGGGCTACTCTTCGTGTAGTGTGCGGGCTTCTCATTGCGGTGGCTTGTTGAGGAGCGCAGGCTCTAGGCACGCGGGCTTCAGTAGTTGCAGCATGTGGGCTCAGTAGTTGCAGCACACGGGCCGTAGAGCACAGGCTCAGTAGTTGTTGCTCATGGGCTCTAGAGCGCAGGCTCAGTAGTTGTGGAGCACGGGCTTAGTTGCTCCACGGCATGTGGGATCTCCCCGGACCAGGGATCAAACCCATGTCCCCTGCACTGGCAGGCAGATTCTCAACCACTGTGCCGCCCAAGAGCCCACTTTTTTTAATAGAGCTGCAAGTTTCTCCTAATCCGGCCCTAATCAACTGTCTCTCCCTAGGTTTCCCAACTAGCCACCCCCACTCTGTCATTTGTTGTGGATGTTCACTTTACTTTTCCTGAAATCTTGTGATCTCAGCTTGCACTGCCCTTGATATCCCTTCTCTGCCTTTTGGATCCTATTTATCATACAACATCAAGTTCAATGTCACCTTCACCTGGAAATTGCCCTCAATCCCATTCTCCATTGCACTCTTATCAGACTTCATTGTAAGCAAGCATGCTTATGTCTAACTCTACCCCAGAATTCTTAACAATTTTTGTAGAAACTGTGGGACCTAGCAAGTCAGTTTCTCAGGGTAGAGGCTCAATAATTATTTGAAATATAAAACCAGTTGCTTTGCTCCCAGTAGGTTGGAGACTAATGGGCTAAGGTGCTCAGGGGTTGAGAGGTAGCAACAAGATACCAAGGTGGCCTACCACACAGTTTTGGTTAGTAGTTATTCTACTTAAAACATATTTTATATTTTACTCATCATTTTTACCATTTAGGATACCCATATGCAATGACAATAACTGTATTACAATTTATCCATGCAGATGATCTGCCAGACTTTGTCAGTAAATGCAGTCTATCACCCAGATTTCCTGATATATGTTAACTAAATGCAAAGCCTTATTATCACATTTCCTATATATAATACCTGCCAAAGTCAAAGACAGTGTTACCCAATGGGGTGGCTATGGTCAAATTCCTTTACTGTGATCTTCCTTTCTCATTATATTTGACATTTTTGAAACTGAATTTTATTGTACTCTCTCCGCTTCTGAAAGTGGTCTGGGAAATTAGACTTAATAGAGATGTAGAAGCCACAGGGAAAAAAGAAAAGGAGAGTGAACCGGGAAGAAAGTGAAATTAAAATGTTATTTTGGTAAATGGATGCTCTGGTGGAGACGGCAAACAATTGCAATGCAAGTTAATTACTGACCTGTCAGGCAAGTGTAGCAAAGAGGTTGTGCCACACGTTACTGGAGCCACCACTGCCACAAGTCATTTCCACAGGGGAACAAACAGACTGTGCTCTACCACAGATGAGTAGAAGACCTTTCCAGGGGACAGAAATGAGTTTCTGATATCATATTCATCTGTGGAGTTTCCACACACTCTTACTAGACCTGGAGAAGCAACTCATCTTACACATTCCGGAAAGGGAATGGGGTCATATTGCCACAGAGGGTTCGTGTGTGTTAAGGCAGAGAGGACCTTGGTGGTGACCAGACAGCTCACTGCCACACAGTGAAAACCCAGGCTAAGACTCATGGAATGGGAAAACACTGGGGCACACTCAGTGCTTATCTCTCAGACAGTTCTCCTCACAAAGTCTTTAGTGAGAATCCATGTCAGGCAAGAGAGTCCTTCTATTCAGAGAAAAAAATGTTAAGCACCTGAAGAAAGCTGAAACTCCAGGGAGATGTTCTCTATTGTTAGAACACAGAGCCCTGCTAAGTTGCAAGGTGGTCAAAAATGCAGTCATTTTTTAAAAATAAGAAATAAAGAAAAGGATTATCTGAAATGGAAATATGGTATTGTTCATATTTTTTGAAATTTTGTATGATTTTCCAAGTATACTTTAATGTTGGCCTCAAAAGGTATGAAAAGCATTGCTTCTTTGCAGCCTCTAACTTATGAAATATCCATCGTTCATTGGCCCTTAGAGCCACTGGGCAGAGCAAGTTATACATATTCTTTTTAAAATAAGAACTAAATTAGGTCAAAGACATTCCTACTGATAATGCTTTCCTAAGCTATGTACTCTGGCATTACCTAGGTTCTATATTTGTTTTCCATTTCTATATTCTGCAAATATTTATTCAGTCTTTATTGTTTTGTCAGAAAGCACGGGGACATTTATAAATGATTAAATAGAAAGACTTACATGATCTATACTTAATATGGATGCACTTCGATCATTTTATCTACCTGATCTCTGTCAGATTTCCTTTGGAATTCTTGTTACCTTGTTTTTCCAGACACAGTTGCCACTTGACTTGGCGGTCTATGACTAAAGCAAGGATGTTTGGAGATGCAGGACTTGAGCTCTGTCCTGGGACTACTTTGAACAGGTTGTGGCACCTTGGGGAAGAGTCTGTATCCTTGAACTTCAATTTTCTCTGCTCTGTAGCATGTAGATAATATCATAGTGCCTATTCAGTTTCTACTAACTCAAATAATTCTTAATATATTTTTATTTTAATGTTGCTGATGGGAAAAAGATGTCAAAAATATACTTTCTACCTCAAAAGGGCAAGCTGCTGAGCCTTAGTGTAATTAACAGAGTGCAACAAATAATTGACAGAGCAGCTTTGAAATTTATGATTAGATGAAATATCACATTCATTCCTATTTGGGTATTTGCAGTGTGAGTGGGAGAATCAGGCCCAGAATATCACTGAGCCAAGTCTGTTGAGCAGAGCCAAAGTTTGTGTGGCTCTTATGAAGTGCATTCTCATCACTGTTTCCTGTTTTTAAAACAGTATTGAAAGTGGAACTAGTGTAACATCACAAGCTATTCTTGCTGTTCTCTTGGTACATACAAAATCAGGAAGTCTACAGAAATTGTGAAGCCAGTCTTAAGTGATTTACATTTCAACTTCTAACTCAGGGATATTTATTTGGAGAGTTTTGTAAAAATCAAATGGATATTTTAAACACATGCAAAATGAACGAATGTGTTGTCATTAGTCATTCACCATGCTTCTGTGTGCCTCCTATAAGAATATAAATGCATACGTCATCAATGTTTTTTCTAATAGAATTTGGTAACAATGATGATGATGATGATGATTAGATGATATGTTATGAAAGAACAAGAGAAATACGGAATAAGCATGTAGATCGCATGAAACTTAAACTTAATATGACTTATAGTTAACAAAATGTTTCATGTTACGAAGTTGCATAGAAATAAGCATACAAAAGTATTATTGATTTTACAAGTCCTCTACCAAATCTAGAAAGTTAAGGGTCAATGAGAAATGAAAATACAGGTGGAACAACAGAATACGATTTCAAAACCCTGTGTATATTCTTGGAATAATAACTCAGAAAGACTCACAGATTAGAGCTCTTCATTGCCTTTCTGAGTATATTCTGAAATTGATACTTATGTTCCTGGAATTATATTCACTCCCTGATGCTGGGAGCAAGTTATGATGGACCCTGGGGTTTGAGGGTTTCTCTCTTTTTTTAAAAAATATTTATTTATTTATTTAGCTGCCCGGGTCTTAGTTGCGGCATGGGAGATCTTTTAGTTGCAGCATGCAGGATCTTTAGTTGAGGCGTACAAACTCTTAGTTGCGGCATGTGGGATCTAGTTCCCTGACCAAGGATCGAACCCAGGCCCCCTGCGTTGGGCGCGCAGAAACCCTTGAGGGTTTCTTTTGACTCAGGGTTGGGAAGACTTTATATTGGAGTTTATTCCCCTAGAACCTTCTTTCATAAAGACTCAAAAACTAGAGCACCCTGGCAGGGCCATCACGTCCCACAACTCCAAGAGGCACCCTTTACTAGAATGCAATGCTAATATCCTATTCCTAGTCACAAGTGCTACCTGCCTCTACTTTTACTTAAGATCACACACAAAGTAGAGTAATCAAAGGTTTTCTACTGTAAGATATTTTCCTACATAGCCGGAGGAGTTTCCAGTATGTGATTCAGGTAAATGATTCCCTGAGAGTTCATGGGAAGTCTGACTAATCATTTATGACAGTGTGTTAATTAGTTTAATCATTCCTCTCCCATATATACATCTAAGTGATTCACTGAGCAGATGGATGTAAGTAAAAAGATGTAAGTAAGGAAGAATGGATGATGGAATTTCAGATATGTTGACCCTGTAGATGAGATGGGGCCTAAGTAGGTGCTGCAGTGGGGGGGCTTTGGCAGCCAAAACGTGAAAAGGACCATAGTGTGCACTGTAGAGGAAAACATGAGTATTAGGATGCAGGTAAGGAGAAAATGGGAAAGTTGGAGTGTAAAGAGAATGAACTGTAAGTGGGGTCCAAATACAACTTGCAAAGTTGGCCTAAAACAGCCTTATCCACCAGCTATGAGAGGTTTCTAACAGGATGAATAAGAATAAATCATCTCTGAACCCACAAGTACGGCAGTTAGAAGTTTCACAGCCACCAACACAGCTGTCATTTCTGGCCATTAGATTTCCTTCCTCCTCTGTCCTCCCTCCTTCCTCAGTTCCTGCTTGGGGTGAGGGGGTCCTGCTTCCTTCTGTTTTGCACTCAACTCATCCATACAAGACATTTGTGTATTATGCCAAGGAAAGCCCTCTTCCCAAATTCTCTCCCTCAGAGTGTCTAGAATACCAGCCTCTTACAGCACTGGTGGGCTTAGAAGGGATTAGGCTCTCCGTTAACCCTTCAGCCCGATAAGAGGATAGAAAGATGATCAAACTCACCCACACTGAGGCTAAATGCCATTTTCTTCATGAAACCCAATGCTTACCTTTTCCTTGAATTTCCTTGGTACTATAGTTTTTCTTCATGACGTATTTCAGTATCTACTCTATAATATCACAGTTATTTACATACCTCTGCACTGCTGAGCCCTTTGCCCGAAATGCCCAACCTGCCCTGACTTAGCTCCAGCGTCAGCTGATCTTTTGTGGACTTTCTCTCTCCACACCTCCCAGTTCTACTGTGGTCTGATGTCATTGCTTCTCTCCCCACCTGGCACCACTCTATTCTCTTTTAATTATTGATTTGTTTCTTTATCACACTCACCAAACTACTGTAAAACAGTTGGTTGAAACAAACAAACAAAAACCAAAAACACAAAAAAGAGTTATCTCCAGCCTCTAATGTAGTGCCTTGCCACTCAGGAAAGTCTCAGTAACCGTTAAACAGATAATTTATTTTCTGTGGGTAGAAAGAGGTTTGTGTCATTTTCTGTATTCTTCTCAGAGCAACGTGGTGCTCTGCAAAATCAGAAACCACCAAATATTTGCAAACGTGAGAATAACTATGAATAGTATCAAGTGAATGCCATTGATAGAACAAAATACAAAAAAAGCTGAATAAAGAGAAAAAATTGAGTGCAATAAATAGAGTTATCAATAAAAAGTGAAGATGAGGTCAGTTGGGAAAAGAAGTGATGGCTAGAGGAGTGAGAAAAGAGAAATAACATTAACATTGGTAGGGGGAGAGATTAGCTTAAAAGAAAGATCTGAAGGAGGAAGATTTTGAAATTCTTTTCTGTAGACTGTCCTCGAGAAAACAGATGGGAAAGCCAGATAAGAGGCTTTTAAAATTAATCCAGCCTTTTGACAGTAACCCATCACCAGGCAAATTATGGGTTAATTGTCAAATCAATACAAGAATGCAAATGTTGATTTGACGCTGAAATTTGTTCAGAGTTTGAGAAACAACATGCCGTATAAACGGCACCTGGTGGGGCTATGTAAATACAGTGGCTTTATGCTCTTGGTCAGAAGAGAGTGGCTTTAGCCCGAGTATTTCTCTTACCAGTATTACAAATGCACCACCTTAGAGTTTTGAATCTAATGAATAATTTGGAAGATCAAGCCTTCAATGTACTCCAAGGAGAACCCAAATTTTTTAGAAAAGATTTATATGTTTAATCATAGATCCCCTCAACCCTCACTCAAATCCTTGGGCATCAGATCATACCAAAGCATTTACATTGTTGCTAAAACTACCTAAAACTACTGAGCTCTGTAAATCTGCAGTAATACTTCTTGAGCTCCCAGACTTTTACACAACAGTATCAGAAGTGAAAAGGAGCCTACAGATCATAGCAATCCTTTTAGTTGCCCATACCCCCTCACTATCAATTTTTTCCAGTGATGAAACAGAGGTCCACGGACTTGTTCAAGGTCACAAAGCTGGCCATTAGAAACAGTGCTGCACTAGAAGTCATCATAGGCTCTTTTTATGCAACCAGTCTGATTATAATGAATCCAAGGCCTCCATTACAATCACGGTACCTAGATTCTCATTCTTTCATTCATCCTTACTTCATCCACTGAAATATACTCTGAAAAAAACTCATGCTTTTATTAGTAGCGTCTTTATAAATATAAAAAATCCAGAGATTTGCTTTATTTTGAAATAATGTCTCTTGGCTAAGAAAAATTGAAGGCCTCAATAATAAATAATACACAGAATAAAACCAAAAATGTTTATCCTGTACTGGGGTACGTGGAGAAATAACTATTTATATCATCTGCATGTGATTGCATTTACTTTTTTTTTTTTTTTTGCGGTACGCAGGCCTCTCACTGTTGTGGCCTCTCCCGTTGTGGAGCACAGGCTCCAGACACGCAGGCTCAGCGGCCATGGCTCACGGGCCCAGCCGCTCCGCGGCATGTGGGATCTTCCCGGGCCGGGGCACAAACCCGTGTCCCCTGCATCGGCAGGCGGGCTCTCAACCACTGGGCCATCAGGGAAGCCCAATTGCATTTACTTTTCAAAACACATTTATATATTAAAAAGCCCTATCTTATTCTAGTTAGATATAGAGGTAAGATCCCTTATGCATACATTAGTACATACATACATTTGATACATTTTAAAGTCCTTCTTATTAATGTAGCTGTCATCATATTGCTGTGGAATAGCGGGGATAAGATTTCTTTCTTTTATTCAAATTTTTATTTCAAATGTTGTCAAAAGAGCTCTCTTATTCTCAATTAGATAAGTTTTTAAAATATATCACTCATGTATGATTATGAAAATGAATATATTCAAAATAAATTAAAATAAAATAAGTAGCAAAATAAATTGGTTAAGGAATTCTTAATAAAACTGTCCTGTAGAAAGCTTTGTTAGATATAACTGAAGTACAATAAACTGCAAGTGTTTAAAGTGTACAATTTGATCATTTTTAATATATGTATACTGCTATTAAACCATCACCACAATCAAGATAACAAACATATCCATCACCCACAAAAGCTTCCTTGTATCCAGAGTCCACACTGTCCCTAGGCAATCACTAATCTGTTTTCTCTCATTTTATGTTAGTTTGCATTTTCAAAAATATTATGTAAGTGAAATCGTAAGTACTCAATGAGTACTTTTTTGGTGGGGGGCTTGATTTCTTTTACTCTGCACAATGAATTTACAATTCATCCATGTGGTTGCATGCGTTAGTAATCCATTCATTTTTATTGTTGAGCAATATTTCATTGTGTAGATAAACTAGAATTTGTCTATCTATTTATCTGTTGATGGACATCTGGGTCGGCGGTGGCGGGGAGCAGATAAAATAAATACTCCTTCACTTCTTGCTGCCCACTGTCCGTAAGAAAATTGTTAGTCACTCTGATCCTCATTTTTCTCCACTATAAAAATATGAGTTTAATGTCAATATCATAGAAACTTTGTAAGGATTAAACCAGCTCATTGCCTGGCACATAGTAAATACTCAATAAATATTAACTTCTTTTCTCACTCAATTGCCTAACTGGTTTCAATTATGAGGAAACACTTTTCCTCCCGTTAAAATGCTTTTATTCTTTTCTAATCCTTTTAGTGTCCACTCAACTTGAACATTACCGTGATTCTAGCCCCGTTGTCTGTCCAATCAGGTAGAGGTACCAAAACAGTTGGCTCCTTTAAATATAATCCTTCTTTTGGATTATATTGGCTTCTATAACTGACTGGTGACATTTTTTTCTAATGTTGTACCCACGTGCCTAGGCTAGCTATAAAATGTCTATATGGGTGAGACATAGAGAGGACACTCAGGCTAGAAGAGGGTCTGTTTCTAGAAGCTTTGAAGCTATATTTGCATTGCAGATATCCTATTTAAAAAGAGTAGATGTATTCATTTGAGGAACTCATGGGGAGGAGCAGCTGAAAAGGATTATGGATTTGGGAAGCAACTAAAAGCCCTCCTGGTCCACCCACCCAATTTATTTCCTTTGTTTTCTTTTTCTCAATTATTGTTTTCTCACAGCCGCTCCTTTAAAATTTGCCCACACTGGATTTTCCTACCTGAATCAGACTCCTTCCATTAAAATAAATATAAATAAATAAATAGTGTCGATGTGTTGATTTTCTGTTTCTTCATATTCTTCATAAATATTATATCCAACTAAGCTACTAAATCTAGTTCAGTTGGCAGATGGCAGTGGACAAAGGAATTTTAATTTTTCCCTGTGGATATTGCAAGTGGGGGTGGTGACTGGGACTCTGCACCATGCTAATGAGGCCAAGCCGACATATTTGATAGTCAATGGGACCAGCTTGCTTTCCTCCACTTTTACACACTTAAATTTGACCTTATTCACAGGGGTTTTTTGTTCACCAAAAAAGGCTGCTGGTGGTAATGTCTGGAGGTGGGTTGGGATGGGGTGGGTGATAGATCAAAGACGTTGTGAATGAAAAGAGCATATACCCGGAAGATGCTTAGTTGGCAATATCATTTCTATATAAGGTAGACCATATCATATTGCCATTAGGAGTTCCTTAATCGAATTAAGAAACTACACAGAATTTGAGTGTGCTATCTATGAACTGAAATCCTCTGGCACGTATACAGTACCGTCGGAATACAGAGGTCCAATTGATAAAAGCACTACAAAGTAACTACCTTCTTCTTCACCAAAGAGGCGGAGACTATTTCATTTTTTACTTTAATGATGTATAAGGATATGCACTCCACCAGGAGTTTTTCATGGAAAAGCATATACTTAGAATAATATAATGCTTTTATATTTCATCAGGATAACATTGTAATATGCAGAAGTCTACAAATTCTGATACCTCTGTGGAAACACTGAATCCCACCCGCCAAGGCACTGGAGCTGTGCAAATGAGAATCAAAAATGCCAATAGCCACCACAGCAGGCTGAGCCAAAGTAAATCCATGATCCTCACCGATGTTGGGAAGGTCACTGAACCTGTAAGTCAAATACCACAAGTTCCCTGATATATAGAATTTTGTAAAAGAAGGGGGGAAAAAAAGCTAATTAGCCTTGTTTTATTTGTTTTCCTAATGTGCATGAGAAAACTGTTTTTGTAATGCATTTTATCTTGCCTACTTATAGTCATAATTATATCCCCAGTTGCAAGAGAAGAGCTGGGCTTAATCCAGAGTGATAAAGTGGATTTGGAGCTAGACTGAAGAGCACCTTTGACTCATTTTAAGGGCCTCCACTATCATGCTTCAGTGTCATAAAAATAATGAGGTTATGCTAGCATGTGGTGTTTGTACTTCCAAATACAGTACATCACTTTGAAAAGCCAGAGGCTAAAATTAGCTAAGAATAAACTGAGAAAAAAATCTTTTAAAAAAGTGAAAATCTCTTCCTTAAAATCTCCCAACAATATATGATATTGGAAATTACAATCTGATTTGGAATGAGCTTGAACAGTTGAAATGGTGTGGAGATTTAAGGTTTGTAGAGGAAGCCATTTTGTCTCCATAATGTGTCATTAGGAAGATTTGAAATAAAATAGTTAGAGATGAACTCTACTGCCAGTTGTGTCCCTGCCCCTGCACGCATCCTGAGCCACTAAACACACTGATTGCAATGAGTCTCCTCTGGTTAATTTTCTTCCATAATGGTGGTAACTTGCAGCTGAGGCCATAGGATGTTACAAAATTATTTATGCAATGTTAGCCACTCTTTTGGACCCCGGATCTATTTTGTTTCTCACAGTGAGAGCAAGAGCAAGAAATAGGTTAGCTGGGGACAGGCTGTGAGTCCCCGTCACCCTGCAGTAACATGTGAGCTATTAATTGAGTGTTCTGTTAATATCATAGGGGCCTATGAAATATTCAGCTCCCTAACTGAGTTATTAAATGAGATCAACTTGCTGAGTAGCATGTTACCGATTATATTTATTCGCTGTTTTTCACTCGAATTTCAAGTGCAAAATTAACCCACAACGATCTCAGGAGCCTGAGAAATGTATGGTTTTAATCATCCTTTCTTCAGGTATTATAGACAAATTTAGCATGAGGAAGCCAGTGGTTATATTTTGAAAGTGAGAAACATATCCCTAGTTAAGGTACTGAGAGATGCATTTTTTTTTCTTTATTTTCTCATTTAAAAGTATTATCTGCTGGGAGGCACAACACGGCCAGCCTGACTTGGCGTTGAAACCTGCTAAAACGTTCCTCAACCATGAACTTGAGACAATGGTTAGAGTAAATTATTGGAATCTCTATAATGTATTATCAGTAAGAACTGTACCTTTGGAAAAGTTTAAAAGTTAAGTATATTTAATGATGCCTAACATATTTTATTGGCTGTGTTTAACAAAAGGCACTATGCCGCAGTTGTTTTTGACAAGCATGAAAACATCACAGCATGAGACTGCAAAAGGAATTATGGAGAGAAATTACAAGTGATCCATCTCTCAATGAATTATCCACCTCAATAGCCCGCAGAACTCAGCTACCAATTAACACCTACTTTATTACATGTTGGGATGTACTTAATAACTTTCATGTGTTTATGCACTATTACCTTGACTGATGCCTCTTGTACAATTAGGCATAATTGGCATATCAATATGCAAAAGTTAAAAGGATTAACCCTCTTAAAACTAATGAGCATTTCTGTATCCAGCTGCTAAATGAGACAAAATTAGCATTTTTCACTTTTGGGCAGGATTTTATCATGCAGTTTCTCATTGTTGATATTACCTTGTTACATAACTTTAGTTTGGGCGGTTATATGCTGGACTGCTGGAGAATCAGAGTTTTCCAAAGTTAAATTAGCTATAATTATCCCAGCTTTTGTTTCCGCATTCTTAGCCTCGGCAATATGTATTCCTCGATAAGGAACAAAAATAAAAGTTACTTTTGGTTATGTGTGCTCGGTGCATAATTATATAAAAGGGGTATTTTAGTGAGGATATGTCATTTCACCGAGAAAACTTGGCTCAGAGATACTGTATTGAAAGCTTGCCATGGCACTAATTTTCTTTCTGTCTCAGTTCTTTTCATCTCTTTTTTTCCATGCACAATTTTCTGACTAGATACTGACAGAATGTAAAGTATTTTGGCATATTTATTCAAACAAGCCTGTTAAAGATATCTGCTCAAGCTAAACTAAGAACTTGATTTATCAGAAGTTGGAGGTTGGGGTAAGGTCAAAGGGGGAGATTTTGAACTTAGGAGAAGTGGGAGGAAATGCACACTAAAAATGTGTGCACAAGTTCACATGTGGTATGGCTTGCTGTAACAGAGATACATTTAATCTGTACAGAAAAAAATTGAGTACTTAGAGACTATATATGTATTATGCATCCTATTTAATATATATGGCATATATATACTACTTGTCACTTGCATATCAATTCTACAAATCTAATATGGACTTATCAGAGTATATAATAACACAAAAATCTGGTATTACACATTTCCATGATTTCACTTATTACAAAAACATGATACAAATATTCTAGGGTCAAATCAATTGTATAATTTTGTCATTAATTCATAAAGTCCTCTTAAAATTTTGCTTAATTAAAAATATGTTAATATGACTGTGAACTCAGAACACAATATAAAATTCTCCTATACATGTCATAAGAGCCTGTATTCTTGGTATCTTAAATCGAGGAGTATTTTGAAATGCCAATATAAACATTTATTCTACCCTAAGCTGTGCAAACACAGGTGAATTTACTTGTTGAATTAAAAGTTTTGATTGCCTAAGTGCTGCAGGGAAGCATTCCAGTAAAACAGGTATCAATACTCCATTAGTATTTTATTGGTGGCATGCATCATTTTCTTTAAACACCAAACAATCATTTTTATGTGGTTCATAAGATCAATGCCTTTTCAAAATTCAGAGGCCACTTTGCTTTCTAAGAAATGTTGGAGAGGTGGGAAATTTGGACATCTAATGACATGGTTAGTAAGAAAATTGCTTATTTGTGAGAGCCATCTGGAGACCTTCATTTGGTGGGGAGGGAGTGCTCTTTGGTCTCAGTGATTTGTTGTCTCACCCTGAGCACTGGAGTGAGACCTCTTAAAGGTGGACTGCTGATTTACCTGAATGTGCTAAACACAGAAGCAGAAGGCTTAGTGAACGTAAATGGGGGCAAGTAAAGTGTGCCTCTTTAAGGGCTAAAAAGGCTAATGTGCAATCCAGCAAATAGCTAATGCAAAAGGTTTAATGTGGCTTTGATGTTATTTATAAGAGGGATGCCCAGCCTACTAGACAGTTTGAAAATAGGTATTAATGAAGAGTTTAAATAGCCCAAGTCAGGAAACTGCAGACATAGGATTTGCAGGCAGGAGTAGTTCTGGCATTTAATACTGGTGTCTTAAGCAGCAACATGTATGAATATTCACCATTTCCATCTTGTAAACCCTGCAGAAGTGCATCACTCCATTCATAGCCATCATGGACAGGGAAATATTTTTTTTAATTAGTGTTCAGATAAAGACTTAGGTCAAGCCATTCCTAAACATTAACATACAAGACTCTTTGTGCTTCTCTTAACATACAGCGTTCCTTCATTTTTCTTTTTAATATATTATAAGGAAAAAGAGGAAACAATTTTCCTTTGTTTCTTACTTCTGTGATTTTAGGATACTTGCCAAAGTTGTGGCTAGCTAAAAAGGCAGACATAAAAATTGCTACTAAAAATATAAGCCTTCTGTTTAGCAGAGATTTTGAGAAATATTATGAGGCTGTAGGACTTGTCCATGTTTACTTCAAATCAAGCTTATAGATAGGTTTGAGGCTTTCTTTGTATAAATTGTCCTGAAGTGGATCCTGATATTTAATTAAAATGACACTAAATCACATTGAATTGATAAGACTTGGCATCTCAAACAAAGGTAATTGCCCGTATTGGTTTTATACAAAAATAGCGCTGCTTGGAAAATGTGCAGCCAACACAGACTGTCAACTCCATTTATAGATCAATATGTGAAAACCATTGATCAGGCAGGCATGTATAACAGTAACACTTTGCATTTATTTGTTGTTTTTATACCACATTAAGGCTTACAGGATTATAGGCTTCCTAAATATTTTGACTTCCTCATAAATATATGATCTGTTGAATGTTAATTAAATGAGAGTCTGCAGCCATCTCTAAAATTGTTTTTAGTTTGATGATTTCTTTTTATTGCTGTGGATCGTATGATCTGAAAATGGATTAGTTTCCTTCTGCATAAAGATTATTAAAGCCTTAATGTGTCCTATTTAGTGTAAGATGTGGCTGCCTTTTTGCTTTGAAAAATATAGATACAGACAATTATTTTTCTCTTAGCGAGTGGCTGATCTCTTTTTATTAACTGGGCATTCTCAGAGCTCAGGGTGGAATTATTTCCTGACATAGTTTGCACACTCTGTAGATAACGGGTCTTCTTGATTTTTCCTGATAGAATTTGTTTTCTTTCTTTTCTTTTTATCTAGCTCTGTAGTACAGGCATCTGATCAAACATTATGTAGAAAATAAACTCATCACCTCAATTAAATTCTAGACACACACATATAATTTGAATTCTATTTTTCTGATTCAAGAACAAGCCTTATGAACTGTTCTTATACACTGCATTCAACAGTTAAATCTTTCTTATCTCATCAGTGTAAGGACAGTGTTTTGTTCCTAATCTTTATTGGACTATTGTGGATGACATTTGTAAGCCATTTTGGTTTATAAGGAAAAGCTGGAGGACAGTGGAGTCAGACTCGCCATAGATCCAAACCTCAGATATGACTACTAAATAATGTGTCTTCCACTGCAATTTTCTCTGCCACTGAGAGGTGAATTTTGTTGAGAAATCTTTTTATATCCTCTATATACATTAGGAGTACTGCTTTCAAGACAATACTTGGTTTTATATATGATATTAAAACAATAATAAAAGAAACAAGATTTCAGAAATAGAAAAAAAAAAGAAAAAATCATGAAATTCAAGGGTTAGCT